CAGACTCTCCATCGGGGACCGCATCCTGGCAGTCAATGGCACCAGCCTCATCGGGGCAGACTACCAGAGGTGAGCTGCACTTTGCCAGAGGGCCTGGGATGGTTTTGGCCCTGGGGGAATTGCTGTTCAGGTCCAGGTTTCCAGCTGTTTTGCTCCAAGAGCTGCACAGGGTATCCAAGCCCCTGGTGCCCACAATGCAGAGGATGTTGTGGTATGAGCAAGCCACAGAGAGAGGAGTGACCTGTGCAGGACACTGGAAAGAGGGGGAAGGCTGTTTTGGGGTTTGGATGAGGGATCATGGAGCAACAACTGGGGAGCATATTTGGGAAATAAATGAAAGCTCCAGGTCTCAGCAGTGCAGAGCTGCTCGAGCTCTATCCCACTCCAGACTTGCTCTCAAAGGTGATGGGATTGAGCTGTCCGAGCCCAGGTGCCTACAGGACAGAGCAGCTTTGGGCTTCTTTGCCCTCATCCTGGCAGCACTAGCCTGGAGACCAGGCTGTCTGTAAAGCTACAGGCAGAAGAGAAACAGACTCTGCTTGTAACCCTGAGCAGGCACAGGGCAGAGGGGGCAGGTGTTTGGCAAAGGGGGGTGTTTTGTGGATACCTGTGACCTGGCAGGCTCCTGGGGGGCTGCCAGCCTGTGGGAGCCAGGATTCACACCTCTCCCTGTTGCTGTTCTCTGCAGCGCCGTGGACCTCATCCGCTCCGGAGGGAAGAAGCTGCGGTTTCTGGTTGCCAAGTCAGACACGGAAGTAGCCAAAAAAATCAGTTCCAGCTCCTCTTCCTCCTAGTCCTTGTGATACAAGGATCCTTTTGCAGCAGCCTGTGGGTGCAGCTCTGGTTAATGCTGACCTTGAGGAGCCTGGAGTGCAAGAGGAAGGACCAGGACTCCACAACGGCCCTCGATTTGCTTTTGGACACTTTGCCCCTGTGCTGCAGCAGATGAAAGGACATGCAAGGATGGTGCATGCTTCTCCCACTGCACTGGCTGGGAGCATCACTCCTGATCCATTGCCTGGCCTCTCTTGATACTTGGTGTCTCCTTCTCAGGAGCTTTCCTGGTCCTTTGTCCCCTCTGGTAGGGGAGAGGAAGGGGTTGCTCCCTGCATGGGGACTGTAGGCAGGCTTCTCTGTTCCTCTAGGCTGCAGCTCTATGTGATATTTTATGCTGGCAGGCAGAGGGCTGCAAACAATTTTGAGTTTTGAAGATGAACATGGTGGGGCAGGCCTGGGCTTCACTGTGGCAGTGGCGACCTGAGGTGCTGGCACATCAGTCTGGTGCCCAGCTCTGAGGGTGGTAAAGGCAGCACGAGCACCCAGGAGCAGGATGCTATTATTGCCAGGAGTTAAGTTTCCTGGTGCCATACACTAGCACAGGTGCCTTTCTGCTGCTGGGCTACCAGCCCTGCTTCAGGATGGGAAGCAGCTACAGCAAAGGGCTGACACCACCAGCAGTTCCTGTGAGTCCTGGGGAGAGCCCTTGGAAGAAAAGAAGTCCCTTGCCCTTGCACAGATTTACTGCCTGGCTCTGGCACCACAATCCTGACACAAGGCCTTCAGGACTGACCCAGCAGCATGGGGCATTCACAGCAGAATCTCCCCACACAGAGGGTTTGTGCCACCAGGAACCTGAGTGAGCCCAGGAGCACACAGGGCCAGACCCCAGGTGTGGCTGGCACCAGCCCAGGGAGACAAATGACATCTTGGCACTGTGTCCTGGTTCTCTCCCTCCAGCCTCTCCAGGCCATCGCAAGGCCACCCTGTCTCCTGCCCAGCTCGGAGCATCTCACACGTGTGTGCTGCTGACAGGCAGGGCCGTTGTCACACTGCCGCCGGGTGATGAGGGGCAGCAGAAGCTCCTTTTAGAAGGACAGTTTTGAATGTCCTAGAAGCAGCTCTAGCTATCTGCTGCCAGCGACGACGGTGTCAGCAGAGCCGAGGTGTCAGCTCCACCGTGCGGCTGGCCGGCCCCTCGCACAGCCCGCCTCCTGCCTGCCGAGCCCTCCCTCTGCTTTTAGCAACATTAACGGGATAAACCCGACCTGATTTCCACATATAGATGGATACCGAGACCTAGTTTAGCTGAACCCTATTAAAACAGCCTGCTGCAAAATCCTCCATCACGCCCTGCACGGTCTAGGCTCTGGCAGCAAATCAGATATTCACATGGCATCTCACAACAACGGTGCTCTGAGGATTGTGATGCTAAAACAGGGCTGGCCTTAATTACACCTCACTGCTGTAGTTTTGGTTGCTGTGCTTAGTCTTGCACTTCACAGGAGAGAGATGTCAAAACAATCCATGCAAGGAAAATACTCCACTACTGGATTTTAAAGCAGCCTGGCCTGCCTTTTCTAGGCAAGATGGACCAAGCACCTTCACCAAGACACTAGTGCCTTGCTTCTCTGCTAGGCCGTGCTCACAGCTGCCTGGGGTGCTGCCCCAGCAGGGACTGGGAGCAGTTCATCCCCTCTTGCTGCTGACTCAACTGTACCAGGCAGGCGAGGAAAGGCTCAGGGTCCCACAGGGCTCCTGGTGATTCACTTTGCTTTGAATCGAGTAAGTATGTTGGCCTGTCATCCTCCACAGAAGACAAAATGGGCTGCCTAGAGCCCCTGGGCAAACTGCATGCACTCTTTACTCCCCCCTGCCTGGCAGCCAGGGCTCGGGAGAGGCTTGGTTTGCACTACACAGCACTGGGGCTGCATCCTGGCAAGTTCCAGCAGTGCAACCCTCTGCTCCCCACTGAGCACCTCGAGCTGGGAAATAGCTCCAGAGCTGTTATGTTGCTCACAGTGCAGTCAGGTATTGAAACAGACTGTAAATAAACCCTGCTATTGACTAAGAGTGCATGAGGACTCACGTCTCCCGGGAGGAACAGTGGGATGTATTTACTTCCCCAGTTGTTAATACTGTACAGCTCCAATGTGTATAAACCTCTGGTGCAGATACTGAACACAGCATGGCGCCTGTCTGACACAGGGCTGGTGTATGTTAAGAAATGCTCTGTGTCAACAATAAACTGGATCAATAAATCTCTCTAAGCTCTGCTCTGTTAGCTGTCTCTTGGATCTCAATGTTCACCAAGACAGAAGAGCAGTGAGGGCTCACAGCAGGTGTAATGGAGTCAGTTCTGCTTTCTCCACCTCAGGCCTTTGCTCAGCTGATCTGCTGTAAGCAGTGGCAATAAAAGCAACACGTGAATAGCCAGTATAGGGAGAGTAAAGGGGAGGGGAAACAGGTCAGAGGAAGGGAGGGAAGAAGTGTGTCTTCAAAGGGGCATGGTGTACTGGCAGGGTATTAATGCACACATTCACACAAATCCACTGGGATTTTCAATCCATACTGGCCAGGGAGCAATAAGACAAGTTTAGGAGATACAAAACCAACAGGCACTAGGACACAGAAATACAAACAGCCTCAATTCAGAAGAGCAGTCTCAGCTCTACTTATTCCTGTTTTCTGTTTCGTTCACCATTTGTTCCTCATTTCCAGTTAAGAGCAGGGCCTCAGCGCTGAGGGTCAGCAGGGTCTGGTGAGTTACTCCAGAAACCCCCTGCCCTCACCCTGGCAAGCAGCCAGGAGCTGGCTCCAGGAGATGGGTGACCATCCTCAGGGCCAGAGGGAGGGAGTCATTCACCTCTCTCTGAAAGCGTGTGCTGGCCACATCCACGGGTGGGGTGAACACAAACTGAGCCACGCTGGGCATTTTCAGCACGTTCATGAGCTCAGTTGCCCGAATAAGGATCTCCTCAAGGTCCTGCTCACAGTAAACAGAGGTGGCAGCAGGGCTCTGCACAAATGTCCTCATCTTGGACAGGAACATGGACACTCTGCAGGAGAGAAGGACACAGACATCAGCTGGCAGGATCTATACACCCTGCCAGGTCACTACTTAAGCCAGTGAACTCCAAGAGACTATTTGAGGCAAATATCAGGTGACAAGAGTGTCAGTCAGCAGATGAATCCCACTTCCCCAAACTGTGACCCTTCACAGCTTGTTTCTGTCTTGTTTCAGTTTCAGGTTCTATCAACTGCTAAACTCAATTATTCAACACTACCAAACAGCTGTGTTTGGATCCATGAGATCTGCATGTTCCAACCCTTTGCTGGTACCCACCATCCATCCTCACCTGGGGATCAAGTCCTGGCTGCGAGCTGCCAGCTTGGTCAAGGTGGCCATGAGGACACTGATGGCACGGGGGGCACAGCTGGGGGTGCTGGCCAGTGGTCGGAGCTGGGTGATCTCAAACAGCACAGCCTCCAGGGTCTCAAAGAACCTGGTGATCTGCTCCACAGTGCAGCGCTTGTCGTAGGACACAGACAGGTACTCCCCGATAGCCCAGACCTGAGACAAAGGCAGATGTCCTCAGGGAAAGCACAAGCAAAGGGAATTGAATATTTTTTAGGGAATAACAGCTTAGATTAGTTAATGCTAGGAGAGAGGAGGAAAGGGAAGGTGACCAACAGATTGCAGCACAGTTGGAACAGCCTGTGGCAGAAGCAGGCCCTGCTCACCATGTGGGTGAAGATAGCCTCCTTGTTCTGGATGTTGCTGACTGCTCCTGAGAACTCCAGAACCTCTGTGGACAGTTCCACGACAACCGCAGGGCGCAGACTGCAGAGCACTGCCAGCTGTGAGCCCAGCACCCTGGAGCAGAGGGAAGGGCAATGCTCAGACATGGGCAAGGTGGTCATCACCAAACCAAGGAGGAGCTGGTGGCACCCAGCTGTACCCTCAGGATGTTCCCTGCAGGGCTGAGGGTGCAGTCCCTGTTTTGTACCCCCCAAAGATGTGTTGCAGTGGGGACTGGGCCAGTCACCCAACCAGGAAAAGGCTCCTGAGCTGTCCTGGGATGCCAAGCTGCAGCCAGGGGAAGTGCTGGGAGCTTGGCTGTGCCTCCTGTCCCATCTCACCTGTACACGTCATCTTTAAATGCCGGGATCTCGTAGAGCTGGTCGCTCCTCTGCAGCAGCAGCACCACCAGCTGGTTTATCAGCGGCCCTTCTGCAAACTGAAAACCAGCCCTTGTTTCAGCAATACCAGTGACTTCCAGCAGCCAAAACCCAAACTAACCAGCCAGGTAAGATGGCTGGCAGAGAAACTGCCTGGCCTAGGAGGGGAACAGGGTACAAAGCAGGTATCAGGCACTCTGCTCTCACCCTTCTCTTTTACAGCTGGCTGAGAGCACAGAGTGAACCTGACACTACACCACAGAGCTCTTCTGCTTCTCTGGATGAAGTGGCCAGCTC